AAAAATTGTTGTCTATCAACAAGTGACAAGCCACCCAGGCACTGAAAAAATTTGAGGAAAATTACAGAGGATAAATAGCGTCCTGCGTCCTAGTTGCCCCCTTTTCAATTTAAGCCTACTAGAAGGGTGTGCCCCCAGGCCTGGAGGGAAGCAAAAGTCATTCCTCTACCTAAGATAGTAAGCCCCCGTTACTGCTCACAAATAGCCCCCCATCAGTCTGTTCCAATCCTTAGTAACGTTTGGAAAAAATGGTGTTTGACCAGATAAAATGTATTTTACAGTAAACAAATTGACGCATACTTTCACAGCCGCTTATAGGAGGACATTCAACAAGCACAGCCCTTAAACAAATGACTGAGTGATTGGGTGGCGAAATTAATGAATAAAAGATTGTGGGGGCTGTTTGTTATAGACTTCCAGTGCGGCTTTTGACTTCTCGATCATAGTCTCTGCTGGAAAAACGTATTTGTTATGGTCTTTACAAACACCCTGCTATAATTGTTGGATAAAGATTACCCGTCTAACATAAACACAGAGGGTGTTCTTTATGGAAGCCTCTCCAACATAATCCAGGAATCAGAATTCCACAGGGCAGCTTCTAGGCCCCTTATTTTTTCAACTTTACTATACATGCCACATGTATGCGGATGACTCAACACTATAAAATAACACATAGCTACTACACTACAGCGACTGAAATGACTGCGAACCCTTAACAAAGCGCTGCAGTTTCAGTTTTTTTAGAGTGGGTGGCAGGAAGAAGTTATTCTAAATAATTTCTAAAACGAAAAGCAATTGTATTTGGGACAATCTTCACTAAACCCTAACCTCAACTAAAAATCTTGTAAGAAATATGTGGAAATTGTGGCCACGTTGAGATGACTAAACTGCTTGAGTAACCCTGGATTGTAAAACTGTCATGATCAAAACATATTGATACAACAGCAGCTAAGATGGGGGAAAAGTCTGTCCAAAATAAAGCATTATTCTACCTTCTTAATGTCAAGGGGTGCTGAAGGTGGGTGTGGTGCATGAATCAAGCGCAGGACGCAGAAGCTCAGTTCAAAAGACTTTAGTGCAATATTCACGTAGAAAATAAGCACAATAAGCCCGAAGGCGAAATAATGGCGCACACAGGCGTCAAACAAACGGCGCACTAACATGTGCGAAAAAACCTCTCCAAAACACTGGAGGGAAATACGTAGCTCCAATACAAAACAGAAGAGCAATCATAAAAAAGACAAACACACCAACGAGAACTAAATAGGACACTAACGAGGACTAACAAGACACAGGTGTACAACATTAAGACAAAACCAAACGAACATGAAACATAGATCGGTGGCAGCTAGTACTCCGGGGACGACGACCGCCGAAGCCTGCCCGAACCAGGAGGAGGAGCAGCCTCGGCCGAAACCGTGACAGTACCCCCCCCCCTTGACACGCGGCTCCTGCCGTGCGCCGACCCCGGCCTCGGGGACGACCAGGAGGACGCGGAGCAGGGCGCCGCGGGATGGTCCGGTGGAACTCCGACAGGAGAGTTGGGTCTAGGATGTCCCTCCGCGGCACCCAGCACCGCTCCTCCGGGCCGTACCCCTCCCACTCCACGAGATACTGGAGACCCCCCCATCCGGCATCTTGAGTCCAAGATGGACCGAACGGTGTACGCCGGAGCCCCCTCGATGTCCAGTGGGGGCGGAGGAGTCTCCCCTATCTCATTGTCCTGGAGTGGACCAGCTACCACCGGCCTGAGAAGAGACACATGGAACGAGGGGTTAATATTCTTATACTCAACAGGTAGATGGTAACCTATAACACCACCTCGTTCAATCTTCTCAGGACTTTAAAGGGCCCCACAAACCGCCGACCCAGCTTCCGGCAGGGCAGGCGGAGGGGTAGGTTTCTGGTAGAGAGCCAGACTCGATCTCCGGGTGCGTTACACCGGCCCCTCACTGCGGTGGAGATCGGCACTCGCCTTGTGACGAAGGACGGCCCGCTGCAGGTGGACGTGGGCAGCGTTCCCACGTCTCTTCCGAGCGCCTCATCCAATCATCCACCACAGGGGCCTCGATCTGGACTCTGCTGCCAAGGTGCCAGAACCGGCTGGTAACCTAACACACATTGGAAGGGGGTTAGGTTGGTAGAGGAGTGGCGGAGAGAGTTCTGGGGCCATCTCGGCCCAGGGAATGTACCGTGCCCACTCCTCCGGCGGCCCTGGCAATACGACCTCAGAAACCTACCCACATCCTGGTTGACAACGTTCTACCTGCCCGTTACTCTCCAGGGTGGTACCCTGAGGTAAGGCTAACCGAGACCCCCAACCGCTCCATGAACGCTCTCCAAACACGGGAGGTAAACTGGGGGCCTCGATCAGACACTATATCCTCGGGTACCCCGTAATGCCGGAAGACGTGGGTAAATAGGGCCTCAGCGGTCTGTAGGGCAGTAGGAAGACCCGACATAGGGAGAAGACGACAGGCCTTAGAGAACCGGTCCACAACGACCAGGATGGTGATATTCCCCTGAGAGAGGGGAAGGTCTGTCACAAAATCCACCGATAGGTGGGACCATGGTCGTTGTGGAACGGGCAGGGGTTGTAACTTACCCCTGGGCAGATGTCGGGGCGCCTTACACTGGGCGCACACCGAGCAGGAGGAGACATAAACCCTCACATCCCTAGCCAAAGTGGGCCACCAGTATTTAGTGCTAAGGCAATGCACTGTCCGGCCAATACCCGGATGTCCAGAGGAGGGTGACGTGTGAGCCCAGTAAATGAGTCGATCCCGAATCTCGAGCGGAACGTACTTCCGACCCTCAGGACACTGTGGAGGGCTGGGGTCGGTACGCAACGCTCGCTCGATTTCGGCATCGACCTCCCACACCACCGGTGCCACAAGGCAAGACTCCGGTAGTATGGGAGTAGGCTCAACGGACCTCTCCTCCGTGTCATACCGCCGGGACAGCGCATCTGCCTTAACATTCTGGGACCCAGGGATGTACGTGATTTTAAATTCGAACCTGGTGAGAAACATACTCCATCGAGCCTGGCGAGGGTTCAGTCTCCTCGCTGCCCGGATGTACTCCAGGTTCCGATGGTCAGTCAAAATGAGGAAAGGGTGTTGAGCCCCCTCAAGCCAATGCCTCCACACCTTAAGGGCTTGAACTACAGCGAACAGCTCCCTGTCCCCAACGTCATAGTTACGCTCCGCCGGGCTGAGCTTTTTTGAGTAAAAAGCACAGGGGCGGAGTTTAGGTGGCGTGCCGGACCGTTGAGAGAGAACGGCCCCTATACCAGCCTCAGACGCGTCTACCTCAACCTGAAAGGGTAATGCGGGATCCGGATGCGCCAGCACCGGAGCCGACGTAAACAGGTCCTTCAGTCTCCTAAAGGCCCTGTCCGCATCAGCTGACCACTGCAGGCGCACCGGACCCCCTTTCAGAAGGGACGTGATGGGAGCTGCCACCTGTCCAAAACCCTGGATAAACCTCCGGTAGTAATTCGCAAAGCCCAAGAACTGCTGCACCTCTTTTACAGTGGTTGGAGTTTGCCAATTACGCACAGCGGACACACGATCCACCTCCATTCTCACCCCTGACGCGGACAACCGATAACCCAAAAAGGAGACCGACTCCTGGAAAAACAGACATTTCTCTGCCTTGACATATACGTCGTGCTCCAACAGCCTCCTCAATACACGCCGCACCAGGGTTATATGCTCGGCTCGGGTAGACGAGTACACCAGAATGTCATCAATGTACACGACCACCCCTTGTCCCTGCATATCCCGGAAAATGTCATCTACGAAGGATTGGAAGACTGATGGAGCATTCATCAACCCATATGGCATGACGAGATATTCGAAATGACCTGACGTGGTACTAAACGCTGTCTTCCATTCGTCGCCCTCCCTAATGCGCACCAAGTTATACGCGCTCCTGAGATCCAATTTTGTGAAAAAACCGCGCTCCATGCAATGACTGTCATGGTCGCAATCAGAGGGAGTGGATAACTGTATTTCACAGTAATCTGATTGAGACCACGGTAATCAATGCACGGGCGCAACCCTCCATCTTTCTTCTTCACAAAAAAGAAGCTTGAGGAGGCGGGAGAAGTGGAGGGCCGAATGTATCCCTGTCTCAAAGATTCGGCTATGTAAGTCTCCATAGCTTTTCTCTCCTCTTGAGACAAAGGATACACGTGGCTCCGTGGGAGCGCTGCTCCTGCCTGGAGATCAATCGCACAATGCCCCTGTCTATGAGGAGGCAACTGCGTCGCCCTAGTTTTACTAAACACGAGAGCTAAATCCCCATATTCAGGCGGAATGTGCAGTGCGGGCACTTGGTTTGGACTTTCCACCGAAGTCGCCCCCACGGAAACACCCAGACATCGCCCCTCGCACTGAGCAGACCACCCATCGAGAGCCCTCTGTTGCCACGAAATAGCAGGGTTATGGGTGCTTAACCAGGGAATTCCCAGCACCACTGGGTACGCAGGAGAGTCGATCAGATAGAGCTGTATAGTCGCTTCATGACCCCCCTGCGCACACATCCTAAGTGGTGCTGTGATCTCCCTAATCAACCCCGACCCCAACGGGCGGCTGTCTAAGGCATGAACGGGAAAAGGTTTGTCAACAGGTAGGAGAGGGATCCCTAAATCTAAACAAAACTTCCGATCAACAAAATTCCCAGCTGCGCCTGAATCTACTAGCGCCTTATGCTGGGAATGAGGTGCAACCTGTGGAAAACACACAGGTATACAAAAGTGCGCAACAGAAAGCTCTGGGTAAGTGGGACGTCTACTCACCTGGGAGGCCCCCCCCAGTGCGTGGCCTGTTGTCTTCTCCCCCGGAGAACCCTCCCCAGCACCTGGCCGCAGTGTGCCCTCCACGACCGCACTTGGTGCAGGAGACAGGCCCCCTCGGGCTCCTCCTCCTCCTTTCTCTAGCGCCGGCACCCCCGAGCTCCATAGGGCTCGGCGGTGCCGGAGGGCGGAATGGACGGACCCCCCTCGGGACGTCCACGGGTGGCCAGCAGGGTGTCCAGACAGATGGACATATCGACCAACTGGTCGAAGGTGAGATGGGTATCCCTGCAGGCCAACTCACGTTGAACGTCCTCCCGTAGGCTACATCGAAAATGGTCGATGAGGGCCCGTTCATTCCACCCTGCGTCCGCCGCTAGAGTCCGGAACTCTAGAGCAAACGCCTGTGCGCTCCTCCTCCCCTGTCTCAGGTGGACTAGACGCTCCCCGCCGCTTTGCCCTCAGGTGGATGGTCGAACACGACCTTGAAGCGGCGGGAGAACTCGGCGTAGGAGATGGTGTTGGCGTCCATCTTCCTCCACTCGGCGTTAGCCCACTCCAACGCCTTGCCCGTGAGACAGGAGATGAGGGCGGAAACGCTCTCGTGTCCCGAGGGCACCGGGTGTACAGTGGCCAGGTAGAGCTCCACCTGCAGGAGGAACCCCTGACACCCGGCAGCTGTTCCGTCATACGCCCTCGGGAGCGAGAGCCGAATCCCCCTGGGTTCCGGACCTGGGACTGGTGGACCGGCCGATGGGTTTGGCAGGGTAGGTGGAGGTGTGGGTACCCCGCTGGCCTCCCATCGGTGCAGGGTGTTGATGACGTCCTGTAGAGCGGTCCCCAGTTGTCGTATCTGGTCATCTTGGCCGCGAACATGCTCCTCGAGCGACTCAGGCGTAACTGCAGATCCTGCTGATTCCATCTTGGTGTGTGATTCTGTCAAGGGGTGCTGAAGGTGGGTGTGGTGCATGAATCAAGCACAGGACGCAGACGCTCAGTCCAAAAGACTTTAGTGCAATATTCACGTAGAAAATAAGCACAATAAGCCCGAAGGCGAAATAACGGCGCACACAGGCGTCAAACAAACGGCGCACTAACATGTGCGAAAAACCTCTCCAAAACACTGGGGGGAAATACGTAGCTCCAACACAAAACAGAAGAGCAATCACACACAAAGACAAACACACACAACGAGAACTAAATAGGACACTAACGAGGACTAACAAGACACAGGTGTACAACATTAAGACAAAACCAAACGAACATGAAACATAGATCGGTGGCAGCTAGTACTCCGGGGACGACGACCGCCGAAGCCTGCCCGAACCAGGAGGAGGAGCAGCCTCGGCCGAAACCGTGACACTTAACAGCACTATCAACAAGGCTGGTCCTACAGGCCCTAGTTTTGTCGCACCTGGACTACTGTTCAGTCGTGTGGTCAGGTGCCACAAAAAGGGACTTAGGAAAATTGCAATTGGCTCAGAACAGGGCAGCACGGCTGGCCCTTGGATGTACACAGAGAGCTAACATTAATAATATGCATGTCAATCTCTCCTGGCTCAAAGCGGAGGAGAGATTGACTTCATCACTACTTGTATTTATGTTGAATGCACCTAGCTGTTTGTTTGAACTACTGGCGCACAGCTCGGACACCCATGCATACCCCACAAGACATGCCACAAGAGGTGTCTTCACAGGTCCCCAAGTCCAGAACAGACTATGGGAGGCGCACAGTACTACATAGAGCCATGACTACATGGAACTCTATTCCACATCAAGTAACTGATTCAAGCAGTAACATTTTATTTAAAAAACAGATACAAATACACCTTATGGAACAGCGGGACTGTGAAGCAATACAAACATAGGCACAGACACATGCATACACACAAACGATAACATACACACTATACACACATGTACAGATGGATTTTGTATTGTAGATATGTGGTAGTGGTGGAGTAGGGGCCTGAGGGCACACAGTGTGTTGTGAAATCTTTGAATGTATTGTAATGCTTTTAAAATTGTATAACTGCCTTAATTTTGCTGGACCCCAGGAAGAGCAGCTGCTGCCTTGGCAGCAGCTAATGGGGATCCATAACAAATACAAATACAAATATAGTGGTCACGTCATGCAGACCAGAAAGTCACACAATTAAAGATGCTTTTGGCCTAATCCTGTGGGGCAAGCGTATCTAGTTTCACTCCAAATTAGGAAATTACATCATTCAGTTGACTACACTCAGCACACATTGTCTCTATAGAAAACTGGTCTTTAGGTCCATACCACAAATACACAAGGTAGAGAGAGTTACCTAATGTTTCAACAAAACGTTAACACCATGATCATGTTCATCTTTATCCTGTGTGAATACATTTCAAATAATTAACCTATTTGATCATATTTTTGTAACAAATGTAACTTTCAATTTGTTTCACGTTTTGCAATTTATTGCCAAATATGTTTTCTCATCAAAGGTTCCTTGTCAAAAGAGGCCATAGCCCAAACAAAAGGTATGTCAAAGTTTTTTCATTAACGTTATTATCATTAACAAAAAAACGTACATTATGTTTTAGAGATTTCTGAAGATTGAATTCTAATTTAAACGTGCTACACATAGGATTTTTTGTTGTTTCATTTTTTGTTGTTGAACACTATCATTCCACTATTAGCGCCAGATATATTATGGACATTTTCTGAAATTACAATGCACAAATTAAACAATTTCAAAAAACTATGTGTAGCACCTTTAAATAAGCAATAGGAATAATATTTTCAATATAATAGGGTACACAAAAATACTACACATGCATAACAGATGCCTTTTCTTTTTTCTAATAGTAGTTAAGGACATTTTTCCAGCAAAGATCTATGGGACAGAAACCAGTATAATGGAGGACAGTGACCTAGTAGTAAAATGTAGTACATTTGGGCATAAGGATGAAACGGAAGTGGTACATGTGTACTTGTGTTTGGATGGGGTTGCAGTGTATGTGGACAAATGTCAAACACATGATACCCTTTTCACCATGAAAAGCGTAACTAGCCAACAGTGGCAATTACAGCTGGGTGTTCTCCGAAACCCAGTATCTACTATCTGAAGTGCAAGGAAAAGGAGATAATTCACTTTCCATCCAGGTGATGGGTAAGGATATTTTTACTGTCTGGATATGTTATTGTTGTTAGACATATTGAACATATGGATACAATATACTTTCATATTTTTGATACAATATTTCAATGTGACTGCAAACACACCTTCATATTCCTCTCTTTTCCACCTCATGCAGACCGGATTCTCCTTGCAGACATGGATAAGAGATAATAATGATATCACTTTCAGGCTCAAGCACTGTAAGAGAGGGAGAGGATGTGGAGTTCCAATGTACTATTATTAGAGCCCCCCAGAAAATAATAATAATAATATGCCATTTAGCAGACGCTTTTATCCAAAGCGACATACAGTCATGTGTGCATACATTTTTACGTATGGGTGGTCCCGGGGATCGAACCCACTACCCTGGCGTTACAAGCACCATGCTCTACCAATTGAGCTACAGAGGACAACTTAAATAGAAATGACCAGTCACTCTTACCTCTGCAAGAATGGCACTGCTGTTCAGATGCAGCTGTTTGATGTTAACCGGATGGAGGCAACTTTTACGATTAAAAGTGTTATTAAGAATGACACAGGCAACTACAGCTGTGTGCTTGACCTGCAATCAAAACCCTTGAATATACAGACAGGAAATTATATGGAAATAATTCAGCCTTTCTTCAGGTTAATGAATTTATAGCTTAAAACTTTTGGAAACACTTTTTATTCATAGTCACTATATGAAAGGAAGAGGTCAAGAGACAAAAAAATTGACAAGAAATGTGAATATCCATCTACTCTGTATTTCAGAGGCTGCACATGATATGAGTCTGGTCAATGTAATCCGACTGATAAATTCAGTTGTTGTGGTCATACTTCTTCTGACTGTAGTGGCTGTTAGTTACTACTGTCCAAATGTGGTGAGTTCAATGTCTTGAAATATGGGACACAGGGAACTTTGGTATAGTTTGGGGATTTTCATAAAAGTCAGGTAGTAAGTTTTAAGTTTCTCTGTTGGGGGTGTTATTTCTGATCGTAAGAGGCGTAAGAGGCCATTTGTATAGAAAACAACACCTGTCCGGATGTGGACCTATTCAGTCACATTCTTATTTTTAGCCATGTGCTCTGTCTCACAGTATTTCACAGGCAATGCTGTTTACAGTGAAGCACTGAAGTTAAAAGGTATAATGATGAACACAGAAATATAAATAAGACCTGGGGTCTCTCCACACATAGCTTCCATCTACATGTAAAGTCACAATGCAGGATGTGGGCCTGACGTTTTCTGTGCTTTCTGTTCTCAGATGCAGCAACTGAAGGGCCTAAAGCAGAAGCAGTGTACCAGACCACACACATAGACAGGATGTTGTCAGTACATTTAATAATGGCAAGCTGCATTATCAAGCCATACATGTGAACTGTTGATCTTTCATTGTGCAAGCATACAATATATCTTGTCTACTCACTCCTTGCATGCTGTAGTTTAATGTAGTGAACATTACTGTTAGTCAAGTCCACATGTTCATTATGTTGATAACTGATACACTTAATATTCAATTTAATGTTTTACTCATGCACTAGTTGAGCTACTGAGCTACTGCAATGCTTTCAGTAAAGTTCAAATGATATCAGACGCCCCGAACTCCATCCTTATAATCATAAGATATACAACATAAAGAGAGACGTTACACATGCTCTCTTGCAAACTCAAGTTGATATGATTGCCTGTTTTTGTGGACTTCATTTTGTGAAGCAGTGTAACTTGAATGAGAGTTTTGAAAGGGAAGACACACTTTCTAGAGTACTACATACTACAGTATCTGATAGAGGAATTATGATTATGACTAAAATTGTTAACCCCAATACTGATGATGACTGTGTGAACTGTGTTAGGGTTATCATTATAAACCCACTAACAGAGGGGGTGAGTTAGAAACTGCTGAGACAAACATTCCAGGGTGAAGGGGACTGAGAAACTGGTTAAAGGCCTCCTAAAGGTGGGCGGAGCAAAGTGCCTTTGTGTGTCAAGGGGTATAAAAGCTGTATATGTGTTTTTTGCATTAAGCATTAAGTTTGATTAATTAGAGATATAAATTCTCGTGACAGTATCATTATTGGATACCGTTGTGCTCTTCACTGAAAATATAAAAATGTTTCCCTTAAGTAAGAAGATTGCAGTCATAGTGCAGTATAACTAGTATAACTGCAGTTAGAGTGCAGTATAACTGCAGTATGCTGCAAATATTGCATCCAAAATAACACAGTTTTTTTTTCCTGCAGTAATTATGCAGTGTAACTGCAGTTATTCTGCAATTGCTGAGTCCAAAATATCACAGTCGACGGCATTTACTGCACTTTTACTGCAGTTTTAAAACTGCAATCTTTTTTTGTAAGGGTTTTACTCATTATAAATGTGTTGTAGCTTTTTCTAAGTCAGTATCATAGGCCTGGGGAGTTTGGAACCCCACATTAAAAAAGCTAATAGGAAGACTGTGTTACACATTGCAAAAATATCTAATGTAACACTGTCACTCCTCATAGCATACAAAGCCCTAGCTAAAACAGACTGAAAGATCAAATATTGTTTAAAACAAATATCCACTTGAGATACCCAACCTACACCATTAGTCACTACATATGAATCCCACAGCCTCTACTCTCTAACTTTACTGATACAGTTATCAAGGTGGCAGTGTACTAGAAAGTCAAAGAAGATGATAAAGTAGTAATCCATAGGAATTGATTGAACAAATACATGTTTGGGTTGTATTGTAATCAGACCATCGTATCATAGAAATTGTCCAGTTTCAATAAAGTCACTGCTTCCTAAAAGCTGCTGCATTAGTGAACATTTACCATAGATATATGTTCATTTACCACAATATATGAATACGCACAGGTTCTCTCTTTAAAGATGAATAGTCATTGTAATAACCTATAATATATATTTTCTACCGCTATGTGTGTGATATCTGATACAGTATGTGTGTGTAAACAATCAAATAGGTTATAAAAAGCAGTCGTGCTGCGTCCAGCCATCTCATTCAATGTATTACCTGGTATTCACCAGAAAGGTGTGTGGTAGTTATTGGGGAGAACTCAAAGGTAATACCTAAGTACCGGTGCTTGTTATGGTGAATCACACATGAGTAACAACTCGTAAATTATTATGTAACTACTAGATAAAATGACCTAAGACATTTGACTGTGTCCTTTAATATAAACAGGGTGAAGTGGGTCATTGAAAGCTCTGTGATGCAACCTCTCATCATGGTCAAAGACGCTTCTAATAGAACCCTATTGTTTTCCGGATATTCACACATAAAAACTGTACATGCTGAGACCTACCTCCTCCTCAGTCTTTTATAGTGTCATATAGGCCTAGAAGATCACAAAAGGCTGCAAGTCACATCATGGGTTCCATCTTTCTTATGATATGTGAGTATCTTTACAAATATAGATTAGAGTAAGCATATGGTCTCAAAATGATCCATACGTATAGTACGTACTCAGTATGCAGTCAATGTATTTCTATTTAAACTGCCTATTGTGTAAATATCCCATTATTTCATCACAGTCACAGTAACAGCAGGTGTACAGGCCATCTCTGAGGAAATAGGTAAGAGGACATATTTTTTTTCCTAATTGCAAAGAGTTAAATTAATTTGCCGATTTATTCCAAACATGATTATTACAAAGACGTTTAATCATTCTTAATTCTCTCCTTCACTCTCAAATGATGTAGCTGTCTACCCCGCAAAGCTTTTTGGATCAAAGTCTTACGTTGGAAAGGGAGATACTTTAGATTTGAAGTGTAGCATCTCTGACATCAAAAGATCCTGGGACAAGGTTCATGTGTACATTTGCAAGAATGGAGTTGGGATGAAAATGAAGGTTCTGGAGAAAGGTGAAGATGACACCATTTTCACCATGAAGGATGTTACAAAGGAAGACTCAGGCAACTACAGCTGTGTGTACACCAGAGATAAACTTATACCCAGTCACGTGTTCTCATCAGGCAAGAATTTAGTAGCTATCCAGGTCTACGAAAGTAGGATTTATTTGTGGAAAATGTTGTTAATTCATTTATTTGGCCTTTTGCTATCCGTTTTTCATTTGTCTATTCATGTTATGTGGGATTGATGTATTTAAGATTTCGTCTCAATATACATTTTTGTAGGTTGATTCTAAAGATTCTAAGGGGGGGGGGGGGGGGTCATACCATGGATTATTAGCTATTACATTTTTTTATTTTAGGACCCCTTTAGGTATAAAAAAATAAAAAAAAGATTTGTTAAAATAATAAATCATAAGGAATAAGGTTTTGAAGTGTCTGTCCTACATTTAGGAGATATAAGAAAGCTCTGGAAATATTTTTTGTTTTTTTACACATATTTAACCACATTTTTGGAGTAGGCACAAAACTACCTCCATACTTCTGTTCATACTAGTCCCGTGCCAATAGGGCTATAGGCGGTTGCGGTGGATTGAGACAGCCCATGCAAAAAAACTGATATCTCTAGCTTAAACTGACAGATTTTGATGGGGATTCTTTAAATCATGTTACTTAGAATGACGCATCGGTGTCAACAGACTCTAGGGGGTTAACATCAGAGGAGGCTGGTGGGAGGACCTATAGGAGGACAGGCTCATTGTAATGTCTGAAATGGAATAAATGGAACTGTATCAAACACATCAAATATATGGAAACCACATGTTTGACTCCGTTCCATAAATTCCATTCCAGCCATTACAATGAGCCTGTCTTCCTATAGCTCCCCCCACCAGCCTCCTCTGGTTAACATTGACTTTGGCTGATTATATACTTTATACTTCCATTGAAGTAAGATTTGTCCTTATGGGATGTTTTAGGGTGTGGCAGATGGTGGGGGGTTGATTCCATGTCATTGACCACATGGACACACTTAGATAGAATAAGTTCTGTCTAAATGATGATGCATCCATCTACATTTGGCCTCTATTTCAGAGACTGCACATGATGTGATACTGGTCAATGTAATCCGACTGATAAGTTCAGCTGTTCTGGTCATACTTCTACTGACTGTGGTGGCTGTTAGTTCCTGCTGTTCAAAAAGAGGTAATTATGATGATTGATGTCTCTTTTCTGGATGACATACAGTAGTGATCTAATGACAGATAACTTTTGGTAACCCTTCCTATGAATACTCTCTTCATAATGCATTATAAGCACACGTACACTGAGTATACAAAACATTAAGAACACCTTTCCATGACACAGACTGACCAGGTGAATCCAGGTGAAAGCTATGATCCCTTATTGATGTCACTTGTTAAATCCACTTCATTCAGTGTAGATGAAGGGGAGGAGACAGGTTAAAGAGGGATTTTTTAAGCCTTGAGACAATTGAGACATGGATTGTGTATGGGTGCCATTCAGAGGGTGTATAGGCAAGACAAAAGATTCAAGAGTCTTTGAATGGGGTATGGTAGTAGGTGCCAGGCGCTCCGGTTTGTGTCAAGAGTTGCAACGCTGCTGGGGTTTTCCACGCTCAACAGTTTCCCGTGTGTATCGAGAATGGTCCACCACCCAATGGACACCCAGCCAATTTGACACATCTGTGGGAAGCATTTGAGTCAACATGGGCCATCATCCCTGTGGAAAGCTTTCGACACCTTGTAGAACGCATGCCCTGACTAATTGAGTCTGTTCAGAGGGCAAAAGGGGGGGGTGGGAGAGGGGGTTGCAACTCAAAATTAGGAAGGTGTTCTTAATGTTTGGTATACTCAGTGTATAACGCCTTATGAGACATGCATAACACATTATAATTGCAGCCGCTAATAACTGCTCATAAATATAACTACATTCATGAAGCATTAAATACTTATAAACACTAGTTTTACTGTACTCCTCACACATGGCACAATTGTAATTTAACCTACAACAAGGGATTATGCTTATACATTTTAGTAGGATATAAATTATCAATAGGCTTTTATTTGTCTTTTGGCAAAAAGTTATTAACATGCTAAGATATGTGCTAATATATTGTAGACAAAAGAGCCAAGCAGCGAGTGCCCAAGGAAGATACATGATGTAAGCTTAATAATAGTCTATTATCGTCTCCATACTAATGTGGCACAACAAGAGATATTGAAACAGTGGACTTTGTTTCATTTTCACAGGCACTGAAGCTAAAAAGGACTACTACAGTATGTACTGTAATCTGCCAACCTGGTCCAATGGTACAATATGTGACCGACCAGCTCGATTCGGTCTTATGTAGCAAAATTTGAAATTGTGTTTTTTACATTGGATAAAAGTAGAGACTCAGAGCTAGAACATGCTTTATCATACACTGCTGAAGAGGAACAATGGGAAAGTCATTCTGCTTTGAGTTGATAAACTTGTAACCCCACTTTTGAGAAAATGGCTCGTGAATATTTTGGTACACAACATGACCTGTACCAAAGTGAGATTAGGATATAGGCCAAGGACTAGATAGTTTGTTTTTACTACTACTTTTTGCTATTACTTTCATCACTTTTAGTCTTGAAATCCTCTGTAGCTCAATTGGTAGAGCATGGCGCTTGTAATGCCAGGGTAGTGGGTTCGATCCCTTGGACCACCCATACGTAAAAATGTATGCACACATGACTGTAAGTCGCTTTGGATAAAAGTGTCTGCAAAAGTGGGGTTACAAGTTTATCAACTTTCAAAGCAGAATGACTTTCCCATTGTTCCTCTTCAGCAGTGTATGATAAAGCATGTTCTAGCTCTGAGTCTCTACTTTTATCCAATGTAAAAAACAAAATTTCAAATTTTGCTACATAAGACTGAATCGAGCTGGTAGGTCACATATGACGGTGATCCTAAGGGGAAAATTAGCTTTACAGGGCCAGCCTTTTTCGAGAAAATGTGGGAAATGAATGAGCAACCTACAATCAAATACCAATGTTACTTTGCTCAATGGCTATTTATAGTACTGTTTTTAGCTTTAATTGCTATAAGTTTGTTGTAACATTACCTGATGCTATGGGGTAGTGACATTCACTGTGAAGGAATTAATTCAGAATATATTGACAGAATGCTTAAGAATGTATACAGTTTGTTTATTGGTATAATGCATCTTAAGATTAAAGTGTATAATGCTTTTTTTGTATATTGAAGGAAAACTCCACCCAAAAACTATTTTTTGGTATTTGTTTCACTAGTCCGTTGTTGATATAGTCCCAAAATGTTTTGCATGTCATCAATCAAGTTTTCAAGATATGCAACTTAAAAAATACAGAAATCTGTCCTGTCTCTTCAAGACTTCATTGCTGACATGCAAAGCATTTTAATAGCCATTTATTTCACACAGTTTTTGTCTTTGCAAAGATATATGCGCAATTCTTCTCTTATTTGTCTTTTGTCATTTACAGTATAGCTACATGTGAAACTGTAGCAGTTAGCCATATGGCGCTGTAAATATAACAGAACCTCTTCATTGCTCTAATGACACTCCTACTTTTGAAACTGAACTTATAAGGGATTGAGCGCTTTGTTACAAAAGTAATGCTGAATCCATTCTCAGTATATGAGGAACATTATCAGCTATAGTCCGATTTATTATTCGTACAATGTGTGGTTACTGTTATGAGCCTACATATGTGAGGCACATCAACATTGTATTTCTCTGAAACCAAACCTCTACACAAAATCTCAGCCAATACATCATGGCAGCATTAGCACTCACATGGCTTGTGATCTGTGAGTATGTTCTACTTTTCGAATGATATAAATGATCAAGAGCAATATTTATTTTAATTTTCTTGTTTCTAGTATCTTACAAAGCTCATCTGCATTATAGAGAAACAGGACTTAATCTTGTATTCTTGTTCCAAGTAGTCACAGCATCCAAACTTGCCAAATCTGAATACACAGGTAAAGTAGTTATGTTTAAAAATATAGTATCTACAGTATATAGAGTACTCAGAAAACACAAATTAAATTATATTCATACAAACAGCTGTTTATCATCCACTTATTCTTGGAAGTTATTCACTATAGAGTATTTTGATCTATGCAGATATCTACCCTGCAAGGCTCTTTGTACCAACATTCAAGGTGAGAGAAGGAGGTCATATAGATTTTAAATGTAGCACTGTCAGCCTGGAACAACACTGGGACAAGGTTAATGTTTATCTTTACAAGAATGGAGTTGGGATGAAAATGAAGGTTCTGGAGAAAGGTGAAGATGACACCATTTTCACCATGAAGGATGTTACAAAGGAAGACTCAGGCAACTACAGCTGTGTCTACACCAGAGATAAACTTCTACCGGATCAAGTGAAGTCAACAGGCGAGAATTTAGTAGTCATCCAGGTCTATGGGGAAGAAGCTACGCTTTTGTTAATGTGTGTGTATGTTTGTAATGATTAGAAATAATGGTGAGTGGATTGCTGTGCACATTCAGTATTTATCAATTTGTTGTGTGGTTGAGTATTTTTTCTTCAGACGCTAAAATACAGTATATTCTATTAAACCACAAATTGCATTCTTAATACTAAATCAACTTACACTTAGGTACACATTTTTACTTCCACTTAAATCAAATGTTCTGCTTTTAATTTTTTTAAGTAGAAGTTAGGGTTCACCCCTTATTTAGTATTTTGTTTCATGCAGAGATCTACCCCGCAAAGCTCGATGGACCATCTAATGTGACTGAAGGGGGGACTGTAGATTTGAAATGTATCACTACTGGCATCCCAAGAAGATGGGACAAGGTTAATGTTTACCTTTTTCATGAAGCAGCTGTTCTGCCGTGAGTCATTAAGTAGCCTCCCATCCAGAGTCAGCCGCTGTGCTCAGCTGACCCAACAAAGCAAGGTAGAGCTAACTAGCTATGTCAGTAAACTAGCTAGCTAATGTTTACAACAGTAAACTAAGCAGCTGATCAAGTTGAAGTCACTGCACTGGAGACCGATGTCCTTGCACATAGTTTTTGCAGGAGATAGCCAACGCTTAGTTTTTATTTTGTCACAATGACAAACTATTAAATCACTTTCACAACTTTTGTAATAATTTTGCTAGTTATTCTGCCTATTTCATGGAGAGTCATACGAGAGCGCAGTGATATAAAAATGTAGAACTATGTTTTCAGTATTTGAATAGCGGATGCTCAATATTCAAATTTGAATATGAGTTCCACATCCTACAAAACAGATTAATTGAGGGACGAGGATCGCATAGGAGTGACACAATCTGACGTAAGACAATGCTCTGATACAGCATCAAGTAAAACACCGGAGTCTAATATATCAATGGTCTTCACAGAGGGGCCAGAGAGTGGAGAAGAAGTTGGGGAAGCATATGGAGTTGAACATGTGAGACTGGTCAATGTAATCCGATTGATAAGTTCAGCTGTTGTGGTCATACTTCTTCTAACTCTATTGACTGTTAGTTACTGCTGTCCAAAAAGGTAGGCTAATCATAATGTCGCTTTCTGGAGGAGACAAACATTAATGCACTGACAGATAAATATTTTTCTTGAGAAATATGTGGTTATACCATATAAAATACATGTTTTACTGTACTTACCACATATGGAACAATTGTAATTGAACCTACAAAGGGTTATGCATTTAAAACTGTTACTTCTACAGTGGGACACATAAAGTACCAAATGGTTGCACACACAGTCAGCTGAATCTCTGACTGGTAGGATGGGTGATAGATAAAGTGTTCAATAAACTATACAAACTGAGCATTTTATCATATCAACTGTATTGAACTTGTAATTTGCTAAATTAGTTTACTGTTTGGAATGTGGAATATGGCATTTTCATAAATCAACCTATTAACAGTGAAGTTTATCAACATGTAATTATTGTTCTTTGGCATAAAATGAACAGTTTAGTAACATAAGATATTTGTTTATATGTTGAAACTGTAGATTAGACCACTAGCAGTTCTGCAAGGAAAACCTGTTCATATTACTGTAAAAGTGATAGTAAATAAATAAACAAATTTGATATAAAATTCTACATGTTTATGATGATTTCATTTGACGTCTTTATGGGCCTGTATGTACCAGACTGTCTTTATTAATGGCACTCCTCTTCAACATAAGGGTGTGACCACTGGCGTAGGGGAAACCTCCGCAGCCCCCATAAGGCGGGTGGCCCACATTTACATTTTAGTCATTTAGCAGACGCTCTTATCCAGAGTGACTTAGTTAGTGAGTGCATACATTTTTTTCTTTTCTTTCATACTGGCCCCCCATGGGAATCGAACCCACAACCCTGGCATTGCAAATGCCATGCTCTACCAACTGAGCTACATCCCTGCCGGCCATTCCCTCCCTCCCCGACAGAGACATCACTTCCCGGGCCAGGAAATGATAGCGGCCTTGCTCCTCCTCTTTTTCCTCCCCTCGAAAATATTGACAGTTCTCCACAGATATTTAAATGGATGTATAAGTGTGAAGCATCCGGTTGGCATTTTCACCCACTACCAAATATGGTGATGAGAGGAAGCCCAGTGGCCAACAATAGGAGAAGATGGAGCCAGATGGATTTTGGCTGATATTATGAAAATGTACTAATCAATGAAACATTTGATCTCAATACAGTTTTCTGTTCCCAAAGCTAGAATCTGTTACAAACAGAGTGGACTAAGTTTAGTAGATTTAACCGTTTGCCAAAGTAAAAATAAAAAGAGTTGTTTAGAAGGAGTGCAAAGTCGAATTGAGTTACTGCACACGCACACTTCACAGACTAGGCGTTCCCTAATAAAAATATGCAAATACATGCTGGAACGTGCCAATAGGATCTCGCTAGCTCCTGCTTGGATCTGCCCCCCTCCTTGCTTGTTCTGCCCACTATGACTCATTTGTTCCCATTGGGTTAGTTATACAAATCTTTGGTTCATCTAGCGAGAGTGCCAGTCCTCCTTCTACGCCTTCTCCTGACGAATGTCAGAAACCCAGGGTCGCTCATGAAAGCAACCCCCCTTCTGAGAACACTGATAAGCCTACGAGTGATGAGACAGGTAGCCCTGACAGCGTGGAGTCCGAGTTTCAATGTGTAATATAAATAGGCTACCAGCTAATACTGTATACAGCTATAGATAGACTAGTAGGCTAGACTGCGTTGTCTGCATAATTAAACAATCCCTAGTAAGCTATTGTTTTGACAGCGGAATGATTGTATTATTTGGCATTAATAGACTGGTTTTATACAGCAGAAACGTTCTATCCAAGCTGTGAGAGAGCGTGAGGCTGGTAATGCCTTGATCACACCGACAGCATCAATGCACAAAATAGTAAGCAGCATCAGCTGGATATGTGTGCAACAAAAGTTCAACATTCACCTTCTGCTACCATTTCTGTAAAGCCGTCTACGCATACAGTTTGACGCATACGTTCAACTTCAAATTCAACTTATGCACCACACAGAACGCACTGCAACTGCCTCTGCAACGCAATGCTGCAAGGCAAACAAATGTACATTTGGTGTACCAAAATGCAATGACGCTGTCGGTGTGATCAAGGCGTAAGAGACAATTTATGCTCGATCCGAAAATGTGGTCGGAGGTGCCATATGGAGGGTGTGAAGCAGTTGGCATGCAGAGGCTAAATCTAGCTCCGTACAACATTGCCGTGCACCTCTCAAATGTTGTAACAATGCGGCGGGCTCCATATAGCTCCGCATTGACAGAATTTGTTGACGGTAGGTGGGGGCGGGAGGTCCTGTATAAACACAGACTCACTTCCTTGACAACTTCCCTCTCAACAGCTCTGCTCCACAAAGAGCAAGAAGTATGAATGCCCTCACTTCTGCAGAGGCCGTATCACAGTAAATGCTGTAGGGCCACTGCAGATGAGGGATTGACCATGCATAGCCTTTGAGGTAGGCTATCAGCCTACAGGACAGTTGTATATTTACAGTTGTACATTTGAAAGCTAATAGGAAGACTGTGTTACACATTGCAAAAAGATCTAACACTGTCACTCCCCATAGCATACACAGCCCTACTTAAAACAGACTCAAAGATCAAATGTTGTTTAAAACAAATGTCCACTTGAGATACCCAACCTACACTATTAGTCACTACATATGAATCCCACACCTCTACTCTCCAACTTTACTGATACAGTTATCAATGTGGCAGTGTACTAGAAAGTCAAAGAAGATGATAAAGTAGTAACCCATAGTAATTGATTGAACAAATATATGTCTGGGTTATATTGTAATCAGAACATCATACTACAGTATACACTGAGTATACAAAACATTAAGAACACCTGAACTTTCCATGACATAGACTTACCAGGTGAAGGCTATGATCCCATATTGATGTCACTTGTTAAATCCACTTCAATCAGTGTAGATGCAGGGGAGGAGACAGCTTAAAGAATGATTTCTAAGCTTTGAGACAATTGAGACATGGATTGTGCATGAATGCCACTCAGAGGGTGAATGATTGAAGAGCCTTTGAACGGGGTATGGTAGTATGTACCAGGCACACCGTTTTGTGTCAAGAACTACAACGCTGATGGGTTTTTCCACACTTAACAGTTTCCTGTGTGTATCAAGAATGGTCCACTACCCAAAGGTCATCCAGCCAACTTGACACAACTGTGGGAAGCATTGGAGTCAATATGGGCCAGCAATGTACATTTACATTTTAGTCATTTAGCAGACGCTCTTATCCAGAGCGACTTACAGTTAGTGAATACATCTTTTTTTTTTTTTTATACTGGCCCCCCGTGGGAATCGAACCCACAACCCTGGCGTTGCAAACGCCATGCTCTATCAACTGAGCTACATCCCTGCCGGCCATTCCCTCCCCTACCCTGGACGACGCTGGGCCAATTGTGCGCCGCCCATGAGTCTCCCGGTCGCGGCCGGCTGCGACAGAGCCTGGATTCGAACCAGGATCTCTAGTGGCACAGTTAGTACTGCGATGCAGTGCCTTAGACCACTGCGCCACTCAGGAGCACATACACTCAGTGTGTACAGTACTCAGAAAACACAAACTACATTATATTCAAACAAAACAGCTGTTGATCATCCACTTATTCTTGGAAGTTATTCACTATTTAGTATTTTTGATCTATGCAGATACCTACCCTGCAAGGCTCTTTGTACCAACATTCAAGGTGAGAAAATATAGATTTTAAATGTAGCACTATAGGCTAAAATACAGTATATACTCTTAAAACAGAAATTACATTCTTAATACTAAATCAACTGTAACGGTAATTTACCAAGGTTAGAGGAATCTTCAGTAATTTTAGCAATTAACAGAAAATATATGGCAATTTATTGTAACTTTGGTAATTTATAATTAAATCACTTTAATTATTATATCTGTGTCCATATAATCTGTGAGTTTCTAGTTGATAGACCATATGGTTCAAGAGAAAATAGCCTAATTAATGATAAAAGTGTTAATCAACAATGGCATTGTTTTCAATTAACTCTGCAACTCTTCCTACCATTGACAACAAATACATATTGACATAGTAAAATAAATAAATATAAAGGATATTTAATGCTGAAACCCTCATATTAAACACCAATGATATTCACTAAATGTATGGTTCATTTATTGCCACAGTTTGCCATCCCTCAACTTCATCTCGGGCCTAACAACACCTGTGCCAATATATCCTCCAAACACCGGCTTCTCGGGCATTATCACTTTTAA